GCTGAGCGGACTTCGCGACGAAGCGTGAAAGTGATGTCAACATGCCGTTCATTATCTGTATCGACTTCTTCGACGTTGGAGTCGGGAGGTCGGCGAATGCTCGGCACTTGTCGGGGTTGGCTTCAATGCCTCGTTCTGTTAGGTAGAATCCGAGGAACTTTCCTGCCTTAACCCCAAATGTGCACTTCTCCGGGTTGAACCTCATTTTGCATTGTCTTGCTTGGGCGAAGACAGTCTTGAGATGAGCTGCGTGATCGGTATCTGCTCGAGATTTGACGATCATGTCGTCCATGTATACCTCGAGCATGTCGCCTATCTGTTTGTTGAACACTTTGTTCATCATGCGTTGGTACGTCGCCCCGGCGTTCTTTAGTCCGAAGGGCATTACGTTGTAGTAATAGTTGCCCGAGCTGGTCATGAACGCCGTGCAGCGTTTGTCGCCCGGAGCCATTGGGATTTGATTGTATCCCGAGTAAGCGTCCATGAACGACAAAGTTTTGTAGCCGGCCGAGTTGTCGACCAGCATATCAATGTTTGGTAGAGGAAAAGCATCCTTCGGGCAAGCCCGATTGAGATCGGTATAATCAACACACATTCGCCATTTTCCATTATTCTTTTTGACAAGTACAACATTTGACAGCCAGGTGGAATACCGGGCTTCAGAAATAAAATTTGCCTCTAAGAGGTCTTTTACAGCTTTTTCAGCAGCCTCCGTTTTTTCTGGAGACTGCCTACGCCTACGTTGTACTACTGCCTTGGCGGCTGGATCAATGGCGAGGTGATGACAGGCGACCTCAGGGTCGAGTCCGGGCATCTCTGCAGCGCTCCAGGCGAAGAGATCAGCATTCTCGCGCAGACAGGCCTTGATTTGCTTCCTGGCCAAGTCGGGGAGGTCCTTGCCAATCTTCACTCCCTTGGTCGGGTCTGCTCCGAGGGGAACGAGTTCGAAATCACCGTCCGGAATAGGTCGGAGGGGGATTTGCTCGCTGCTGGCCGGTTCATCTTGGTCAAAACGGGCGTCGAGCGCAATGGAGTCGACCTTTGGTGGAGCCTTCTGAACTTCTACCTCAGGAGGTGCTGTGTCGGGCTCTTGCTTTGTCTTCTTGATGGGCCTAGTGCTGGGACCTACGTCGACACTATCCCGACCCCTTGAAGCGGCGTTGAAGCACCGGCGGGCAGCAGCGAGGTCGCCCTGGATGGTGGCTACCCTCCCCCTCTTGGTATAGAACTTCATCTTTAGGTGGACAGTTGAGGGGACCGCTGTCAGTTCCGCCAATGTCGGCCTCCCCAGGATGCAATTGTACAGGGATGGGCAGTCAATGACGAGGAAGCGGACCTTCACCTGTCTTGTAGCAGTATCTTCCCCGAATGTCACGAGGAGCTCGACATATCCCCAAGGTTTGGACGTCGAGCCGTTGAAGCCTTGAAGGTCCGAACCTATATATGGAGACAGATGGGAGTCGTCCAGTTGTAAGGTCCGGAACAGCTGGGTGTACATCACGTCGACGGAACTCCCTTCGTCGACCAGAATGCGATGCACGTCGAAATTGGCCATCTTTGCCCTTATCAGCAAGGGGATGACTGCGTTCGGTGCTCCGCCGGGGAGCTCTTCCAAGTAGAATGTGATAGGCTCTGATCTGCCCCTCACCATTTCAAAAGTCACAGTTTGAGGAGGAGCTTTGTCGACCAGTTCGTCCAACTTCCTCTTGGCTGAGTTGATGGTGAGGTCGCTGAACCCGCCCCCGTTGATGACCATGGCGGAGGGGAAGTATTCCCACCTGCTGTGTGTAGTCAGGGGCTCCTGCAGGAGCTCGGGAAGCTCGAAATCCTCGGGCCTGGTTATCGAGAAGGCGGTCTGGATTGGCACCGACTCGTCAGATGGTCGGGCATCTTCTTCGGGCTCCTTTGCCTCGCGGGCTTCACGACGGGGAGCGTCGTTTCTCCTGTACTGTGCAAGTCTCCCTCCTTTGATGAGGGTTTCAATAGCATCCTTCAGGTGGACGCAGTCCTCTGTCAAGTGACCATGACTCCTATGGTACTGACAGTATTTGTTTTTGTCTACTCCTGGTTTGGCAGGAGCTGGTCGGGGACGCTTGACGCCACTGTCTTTAAAATCTGTGCTTGCACACTCCGCCAGAATACGCTCGCGGGAAGCTGTGAGCGGAGTGTACTCAGTAAACCTGCCCGAGGGGCCCCTTTGTTCCCGGACCTCCCGGGGTCTGTCTTCCTTCCTCTTCTCTCCGGTGCGTCGGGGAGGAGGGTCTTGTCTCGAGCTGCTTCCATGGTTGCGGGCCCTGGAGTCCCGTGCCCTGTTGGCAGCTTCTCTCTCCTCATAATCCATATATGCTCGAGCTTTGTCGAGGAGAGCGTCAAAAGTTGCAGGTGGCTCGATGCCTACAGCTTTCCTGAATTCTGTGCCGGGGAGGAGGCCCCTCTCCAGCAAGTACCTCTTCATGTGGTCCGCGCAGGGGACCTGTATTGCTTCCCGGTTGAAGCGGTTGATGAATTCCCTCAAGGTCTCATCATGTCTTTGAATGATGGCCTCGAGGGCTGCCTCAGTCTTTGGGTGGCGACGAGACGCTGTGAAGGAACTGATGAACTGGTTTTTCAAGTTCCGCCACGAGGTGATGGAGCCCGGGGCAAGTCCCTTGTACCAGTCCATGGCCGCCTTCCTGAGAGTTGTTGGGAAGAGACGGCACTTGATGGGCCCCCCGACATTGTGATAGTGGAGCATGGCTTCAAACCCGTCAATATGGTCGACTGGGTCTGCCACCCCATCATACTCCTTTAGGTGTGGGGGCTTCTCCATGCCCGGGGGGATAGGTGCGTCCATGATTGCCTGCGACAGGGGACCGCGGGGGTCGTCCTCGTCGCTCCTTTCTGGAGAAAGAGAAAGGGTCCTGTAGTTGTGTCGGGCACGTTGCTCGTGCTGGGATTCCCTTGAACGTGATGTTCGGTGCTTGAAGGTCACATGCCCGTCTCTGTTGTGCCTCCGCTCGTGCCTTGATGGGTCGCGAACGGGCTCTTCGGCAGGAATGACGGGCTGTCTTTCATACTGGGGCCGCCTCTGCCTTGGTGCGGGAGAGGGGCTCCGAGAGTTTTCCCTGTAATGTCTCCGCGGGGGAGTAGGGTGTCGAACTTCTTCGACCCGAGGAAGTGGAGATGGTGGCCTTTGATGTCTCCTCGGAGGGCGTCGATCATTTTCCAGTGCCCTAAGTCTTTCTCCTTGCGCGAACAGGAGATAGTTCGTCTGGTTGATGGCCGCGAACAGTGCCTGAGCAGTGGCATCCGCTCCGGCAGGGGCTTGGACTTCATAGAACCGGGCAGCCTGGCGATAGGCGAGAGCCTCCGGATCGTCTTCGAGTCCTGGAGGAGTTGTCGAGGAGGACGCAGTGTTCCCGTCCCTGCGGGTGGAAGGTCCAGGGGCGGTTGTCAGGGGGATGGCATTGTGGCCGGCACCACTGGGATTGTCCAGGTGCCCATTCTTGTCCGCGGGACCGTTGTTGGCGTCGAGGACGCGAGTGTGTTGTTCTTCACGAGTTGGAGAGGCCATGACAGTGAATGGATTGAGCTTTGGTCTTTGAAAACTGTTCGTTAGACGGGGAAGCTTTTCCCACAGACGGCGCCACTGATCTGACCTGATCAGAAGGTTTGGACCGTCACGGCTGCTCCGAGCTGAAGGCTTTTAGAACGAGGAGGGGGGGTACCTGCAAGGCACTCCGATGCTCAAGTCAGTGGGAGTACTAGCAGATAATAGAGTTGAGGTTAGAAATGATGATTACCTGACCCTCTGGAAACAGAGGGTATTTATAGCCCCCAGCGCTGGGCCAAGGTTCCTTCATTGGGCCGGGCGGATTTGGCCCAATGGAGGAACTGCCAGGTTCTACGTGGGTAGTGGGGATCAGCACGTGGTCCCCTTCCTGGAGGTGCTGCGTGAAGTGCGGGCGGACAGAGACGCGGTCTTTACGGAGTATCGTTGGGGCAATGGTGACTGAGTCTGCCCTAGCAAGGTAGCTCGAGTCCATGTCGAGCAGTGCAGCATGATGTCGAGCTCGACGCCAAGACCCCGAGCTGGACAGCGAATGTCGAGCTGGAAGCCAGGGTATAGAGCTGGACGGCAGTCTGTCGAGCGTGACTTCGTCGCGTGGGCTGGACACTGAGATGTCGAGGTGGACATCAGGGTGTCGGGCATGGACGTTGTGGTCCTTAGTGAGTCCCATTGGATTGGGCCTTTGCCCATTGTGGTCCTTAGTGAGTCCCATTGGACTGGGCCTTAGTAATGCTTTTGGGCCTGTCGGGCCCAGTCCAGAACAATATGTAATGATATTTTATACTTTTTTGAAAACATACATTTCATAATTTATGTTTTAACAAATTTTTTGAGAAGATATTGTAATATAATATATTATGTATTAATGTCCTTTCTTATTTTTCCTTATCCTTAAATGATACTCCATCCGTAATGATTTATAGATAAATTTTATTTTTAAATTCATTAAATAATGAATATATCTCATATATAAAGACCAAATATATTAATTATTCAATAAATTTTAAAAAAAAATTTACACGATTAAAATTTCAGTCCATTTTTCAAAAGCTTGAATACAGTAGCTACATAAACACACAAAAACAATACATGTATGAAATTGGCGGTAACAATCTTGGCCAAAAAGCTCAAACACTTTTCACATCGGTAGTTCTTAAAACTTCAAATAAAATAATACTGAAAATTTATTATTTCTCCATTCATCACCATCGTACCTTTGTTTTATTTTATCATCACAATAAATAAATAAATAACAAATCCACCAAATACAAACATTGATAAAAGCAGCTAAAAAGTTGGTACTCGTTAGAAACTAAAACGCACTTAACAACTTCAAACACCAAACACTTCGCAACACTACAATGTCTTTTCCTTCACTTCCTGCTTAAAAAAAAACCCACGCGCGATAACATATACACCCACGCGCCACTGTTTCTAAATTTGGTTTGCCATGGGTTGCGCGGCGTCGAAGCTAGAAAACGAAGACACTGTACGGCGGTGCAAAGACCGTCGCCGTCTCATGAAAGAAGCTGTCTACGCGCGTCACCATCTGGCCGCTGCACACTCCGACTACTGCCGGTCACTTCGCCTCACTGGCACTGCTCTCTCTACATTCGCCGCCGGTGAGCCTCTTTCCGTCTCCGATAATACCCCCGCCGTATTCATCAACCATAAAACCACCACTCCCATCCCCACCACCGCCGCGAAAACGTTCCACCATCCACCGAAACCACAACCACCGTCTCCTTCACCGTCTTCCTTCCACCACCGTCCTCCGCCGCAGCAACAGTTTCAACCTTCACCTTCTCCCACTATAACCTCCTCAAAACTCCCTCACATCCTCTCTTCTTCCACAAATGAACACAACCACCCTCGCCGCCGTAAACCACCGCCACCGAAACTCCCTCACATTCTCTCCGATTCAAGCCCTTCTTCTACACCGCGAAGCAACTTCTCCAACAATTTCGCTCCCGGTTTCTTCCCTACAGCACATTCTACATACTCTTCCACACCTTCTCAAACTTCCTCCGTTTGGAATTGGGAGAATTTCTACCCTCCTCCTCCACCCCCGCCGGGCTCCGATTACTTCGACCGAGAGCATGAACACGAACATGACCAAGAAGATTCTATTTCTCAATTCTCTTTCAAGTCAAGAAATAGCGAAATTCCTTATTCCCGACAACGTCCTCAACAACAACAACAACAACCACGAATACAAACATATCAACAACAGCAACAACAGCAACAAGGTTATCCTAATCCAACATCACATGAAGTGGAAGGATTTGATTCTGAGAGATCAGAATACGATTATTTCAACAGAAAACTCGCAACGGTTCAGAAGAATCCTAGTCATCATCATTTGGATGAACAACACACTGAGACGGAGCGAGAGGAGGTTGAGTGTAGTGAATGGGGAGATCATTACAGCACAACTTCATCTTCCGAGGAGGAGGATGAAGATGATGATGGGGTTGATGGGGATGTTGAGTCAAGGTCTGAGATTGGGACTAGATCAAATTTCGGATCATCATCTGCAGCAGCAAAAGGACATGTTGCGGCGGTGGGGAAATCGGATGATGTAGCATCGTCTTCGATGGGTGAAGGGGTAATGGAGATGAAGATGGTGGTGAGACATAGAGATTTGAAGGAGATTGTGGATTCTATTAAGGAGAATTTTGATAAAGCCGCTGTTGCTGGAGATCAAGTTTCGGAGATGCTTGAGATTAGTAAAGCTCAGCTTGATCGAAGTTTCAGACAATTGAGGAGTGAGTAATAATCTTCAATTTCATTCACTAGTTCTGTTCATTTTATCCGTGTTTCCGGGCTAGTTTTAATTGCTTTGAATTGAACGAATTTGATTAATTTTTTTAGTATTTATCTTTGTTATAGGTAGATTTGAATTCGAAGAATTGATTTGATTTTTGATTGCAGAAACTGTGTATCATTCAAATAGTCTATTGAGCAGCCTGAGCTCGACTTGGACCTCAAAACCACCGTTGGCGGTGAAGTACCGGCTCGAGCCCGGTTCGTTGAATGAACCGGGTGGTCTGAAGAGTCTTTGCTCCTCTTTGGAACGACTTTTGGCTTGGGAGAAGAAGCTCTATGATGAAGTCAAGGTAATTTTCTAGCTATTTTTTGAGACAGTGAAAAAAGTAAAAGAAAATGAAATGAGTGAGGCTATGCACTATGCAGTGTAATGTAGTGTGATGTTGGATTTTGGTAGCGTAAGGTCACAGCAGAATTTGACTGTTTATTTAGTGTGAAAATGACATCCTCCTTCTTCTCCACTTTTTTTCTTTCTTTTTCTTGCCTTGTGTATTGACCAAAATAGCCCCTAATGTTTGGTTGGTTGGGACCAACCGGCCAAACTTTTTTATTCTGGATTTTGTTTTTAATAATGCTAGATATGTAACACTTATGATGTCTTTTCAGTTTCACATCTACACCTATTTCATTTTTGTTAGATCCACCTCTTTGTCTTGTACACCTACACTCAAATTCCCTCCTTTTCTAAATAGTGATTGTTGTTGAGAAAGTTACTCAAAGTTATGTGTCTTGTATATATTAAAGTTACCAAAAAATAAGTTTGCTTTTCGACGTACCATCTATGAAGCACAGACACAAACACCAGAAACGACGGTGAGATGTCTACACCGATAATACTTTGAAAAATTTAATATTTGAATTGTAAACTATGTGTCTGTGTCAGACACCTGACATGCCTTCAATGTAAAGGGTCGGTGTGACATAGTTCATACCATACTAAAAGGAAAAAGTGTTGCCTAGGATATTGATAGAAAATGCTTGAAGTCACATAAATATTGTGTCCAACATAGCTTCCTTTTTACAAAACTGAAGTTTGTTGCTTTTACTTTGGCTAAAAGCCTAAAACCATACGATTTGCGAACCGGGTATGTATGCTAACACATTCTACACATTCTTGTTGAATATAGTCTAGAGAAGGTGTGAAGATTGAACATGAAAAGAAATTGTCAGCCCTGCAGAGTCAGGAATACAAAGGAGACGATGAAGCAAAGATATTCAAAACCAAGACTTCCATCAATAAGTTGCAGTCGCTAATTGTTGTTACATCACAAGCTGTGTCTACCACCTCGACCGCCATTGTTGGCCTTAGAGACTCCGATCTTGTTCCTCAGCTTGTTGAACTCTGTCATGGGTAAGTACGCCTCTTGTGCGATTGTTTTACTGTTATGTTTAATGTTCGGTACTGATACATAATTAAATTCCCGTATGTATAATAGGATCAGTGGTCTGTTTTGATAGAGTTTATGAAAAGAACTTGTGACATGTCCATAAACTCTTCTATATATAGGTTATGAAAACAACTTATACCAACTTATATTAAAACAACTGATACTAGTTTATATGAAAATAGCTTGGCTTCATTTTATATTTTTCTATAGAAATAACTTGTACATAATACATAAGCACTTATATGGTAAGTGCTTAATTAAGTTGTTTATCCCAACGGGTTCCTAGCCTATTTAATCATTATTTAACAAGGAACAGTGATGATCAACATTCATCTAATTTGGAATATTGAAGCCCACTAAACAACTGTCCCTACCTATGAAGCACAAACACTGACACAAACACCGGACATGACACGTCGACATCAGTAATAATTTGAAAAAATGAATAAATTGAACGTCGTGTCGGTATTAGCGTTCAACACGGACATAGACACTAACACACACCTTTTTCAGAGGTGTCTGTGCCACCAAGGTCCCTACTACTTTAAATGAATGAACTTTATTAAATTCACGGGCCCCAAAAATTTTCAATATTGTAAAGCTAAAAGAAATCCTGCAAATTTGATCTTGTTGTTTATGAATTAAATGTGATTTTGAGACTTCATTAGTTATGTTTCCATTATTTAGAATCATACTCTTGCTTGCTTCTGATGTTTATGCCCGAATTTGTGTAAAAGATGGTGGAATGTGATGATTTTGAGGAATTCAATTTGTTTTCAAATTTTTTTCCCTCACTTATCTCGTGTGAAAGAAAAATTTGTGTGGTAGTTGAAAGCATTATTTATGGGTTACTTCTCTGCTATGCTACCTGCCTCATAAGCAGTGTAATGGCATGTGCCTCTAGGTACCAAACTGTCCAACTGTTTCTTTCCTTATATATTCAACTCTTGGGCCACCACTGCACCTGTCAAAATGTTGTTTTGTCTCCTTTGGCCCCATTTCAACAAAATTAATAATCTATTCATGTGTTAGGTAGTATGTTAAAGTAAGTAACTATGGTACAAAACACTCATTAGCTGTTTTTAACTATGTAGCACCGACACCTCTGAAAAAAAGGTGTGCATGTGTTTGCGTCGGTGTTCCAAACCGACACCGACACTTGTGATTACGTTAAATTTTTCTATTTTAAAACTATTACCGGTGTCGGCATGTCAGTGTCGGTGTCGTGTTTCCACTGTCTGTGCTTCATAGGTTTCTAAACTATTTTTACAAATGAAGTTTTATGAGCTTGTGATGCAATTTTTATTTATCTCATAGATTATCTTCTTATGTTTGTGACTTTGTGATATGGTAATGTAGAATGATGTACATGTGGAGATCAATGCATCAGTACCATGAAGTCCAAAGCAACATAGTTCAGCAAGTTCGTGGCCTGGTGAATAGATCGGGAGGAGGCGATTCTACTTCTGAACTGCACAGGCAGGCAACTCGTGACCTTGAATCCGCCGTCTCGGCTTGGCACTCGAGTTTTTGTCGCCTTATAAAATTTCAACGGGACTTTATTCTCTCCTTACATGGTTGGTTTAAGCTTAGTCTTAATCCGGTTGATAACGATAACGTCAACAACAGAATGGAACACTCCGACGCCTACATGTTTTTTGATGACTGGAAGCTTGCACTTGACCGTGTCCCTGATACCGTTGCGTCTGAAGCCATCAAGAGCTTTATCAATGTTGTCCATGTGATATCTTCCAAGCAAGCCGAAGAACTCAAGATAAAGAAGCGAACCGAGAACGCTTCCAAGGAACTCGAGAAAAAGGCTTCGTCTGTACGGAATATAGAAAGAAAGTTTTACAGCTCATATTCTTTGGTAGGGATTAGCCTTCCTGACTCCGCGCCTGATAATGGACAAGGCTTAGACGCGTGCGATCCACTTGCTGAGAAAAAACTAGAACTAGCAACCTGCCAAAGACGCGTTGAAGATGAAATGATGAAGCATTCGAAAGCCGTAGAGGTAACAAGAGCAATGACACTCAACAATCTTCAGACAGGCTTGCCCGGAGTCTTTCAAGCATTGACCAGTTTTTCTTCGTTGTTCACCGAGGCTCTCGACTCGGTGTGTACTCGGTCGTACGCCATCAAATAGGTACAACATAATTTGAAGTTCTTTATAAGGGCTGGGAATTTTTTGGCGGCAAGCTCTTATTGCTTGTAATATTTTTGAGTTATTATAAATTGAAATGTAAATATGAAGAATTTTGTGGCTCTCCACTCATTCTGTTGTAAAAGGGAATTTTCTTATTGTACAGGAAAATTTCTTAGTTTATTGTATCAAAGGATTGCAAATTTCAATATTATCAATAAATTTTTATTTATAGCTAATATGCTTTAAGGTTTCATTATCATTTTTTAGTCTAGCCATAGACACATCACTGTTAAATTCTTTTGAGTGAAAACTTTATCGTCCAATATGATTCTCTTTGATTCTAAGAATTAGTCTCTGCAGTTGCGTATACAAGATATCTAAGAATTAATCTATGCAGTTGTGCGCAGATGATATCTGATTTCTGCTTTGAAAAAAAAAGAGGGTATTATATGAATACCATATAGTTTAGGATGTTACCGACTTGAATCTAAATGGTAGGGTCAAGATGAGTCACTTTGTGAGAGATATTTTTCACAAAGATCCAATTTTTCTGTTATTTTCACATACTGAAAAAATTGAGATATTGTGCTCAAATTGAGGGTGACAGCTAATGTGGGCACGAATGGATGGACTATAGAGCATGCCTTACAATTGGAAGTGGAAAATTTTCTACACAGCACATGGCATGTGAAACATTTCTTAAATATATGTGCAAGTTGCAAAGTGTTTATTTAAGATAGTGTTAGTATTTATATAATTGGAAATGTGGTCCTCTATTAGACTATTACATTACATAGTCAATCTTCATCTGGAAACTGTCTGCACTTGTAATTTAGATGCAGATTTGGTTTATTTAATGTCTTGTTTACGGCTACCAATTTTCTTTGTTTCTTTCGTCTTATTAAAATTAGTCAATCGCAAGACCGAATATTAAAATTTCAAAATTTTTTTTTAATGTATTTTAAATTATAAACTTCATAATCATTCTAAATTATAAGAGCCTATAAACTTCATAATCTCCGTTTATTCACAATCTGTTTTTTTTTTTTTTTCATTTGGGAAGTTCTCTAAAAAATAACTTAGGGAACTTTTTGAATTTTTTCTGATGATAATTTTTTAGCATATAGTTGTTTAAATGTGTTCACTTTTTCAATGGGGGTGTGTATGACACACTCTGATATTGTCAATTCAGTTAATGGATCCATACTTATGAATGCGTGGGTTAAGTTGGATCAAATTTGATCAAATAAATACTCAAATCGATCAATAATTTTTGGTTTGAGTTGTTGTTCAAACACAAACTTCTAAAACTAAATTTGATCCAAATCAACATGATCATCAATAAATTGGGTAGTGCTGAGTTCATGAGTTATATATATATGTAAGTATTAAATAAAAAGTAATTTAATTAATATATTTAGTGGCATGCTAACATGTATCATAAGGATATATGTTAAGATATGATAATTAGAAAACTTTAAATATAATTAAATATAATAAAATTATATTTAAAATTTTAAAATATTAAATACACGTGTGAAAATTTTAAAATTAAATATATATATAATTTAATTTGTTTTCATATTTAGATAAATAACTTTTTTCGTTCGGGATTATTTTTAGAAGATAAATAACAAAATGGAAAGTGTGAACAACAATAGAATAAATTTGGACTTGGATTTGAATATTGGATATTAGTAGAAGAAATTTCTTCAAAAAACTATTCTTCTAAAATCATTGTTGATCGTAATATTATAGAAGAAGTTGAAGAAATTAGAATTTATGAGAAAGAAAATATTGTGATTTCTAGTCAAAATATTGAGATAAATAGATTCTTACAAGAAAGTGGTGAAGGTGACACTTTTTAAGGAGTCGAATATTGTTCCTTTTGTTGGTCAAATTTTCTTAGTGAGGAAGAAGCATATGTTTTTTTATAAGAGGTATGCATATTAACACAGGTTCTCAGTTCAAAAAGGTAGATTCATCAAACAAAATGGAATTGTGAGTAAGCGTGATTTCTTTTGCCATTGTGAAGGTAGAACTTTCTTGAAAATCATAGAACCATCGCAAGAACAAAGAAATAGAGAATCAACTAGGTGTGATTGTAAAGCTCATTTGTGAATTTCTTTGCAAAAACTCATGATATGTTTTCAAGTGAGTGGCGAGTTACAACGTTTGATGTTGAACACAATCATACTTTGTTAACTCAATCAGAAATGCGATTTTTATCGGCTAACTGAATTATCTCAGATGATTATTATGAACGAATTTTCTCGTTAATGGAAAGTGGGCTTTCAGTTAGACAATTAATGCATGTGATAGAGCTAGAAAAAAATGTGGAACATGGTTATCTTTCATTTATTGAAAAGGAATTCATAATCTTTTTTTGAAAGCTAAGAAAAAAGTTGAAATAACTGATGTTGTTGATCTTCTGAAGTATTGTGAGGATGCAAAAAAGAGTTGCTCTAAATTTCAGTATGCATATACACTTGATGAAGAAAGAAGGTTAGAGCATATATTCTGGTCTCATGCTTATTGTTTTGATAGTACCAAGAAGATGGCGATGTTGTTGTGTTTGATACTACATACAAGATAAATTCTTATGAAATGCCATTTGGAATTTTTGTGGGTATGAATAGTCATGAAAAGACTATACTTTTTAGATGTGCACTATTACAAAAGGAAAAAACTTCTGCATTTCATTGGTTGATGAAGGTAACTTCTAAACTTAATTTCATAATTTTTTCTTATATCATTTATTATTGTACCATTTTTCTTAATTACATAATTTTTTTCTGTAGACTTTTTAGTCTTTGATGAAGAAGCCACTGAAGACTATATTAACAGATCAAGATCCATGGATGAAAGAAGCAATTTCAAAAGATTTTCCATCAACAAAACATGGTTTTTGCATATGGCACATCACTTTTAAGTTTAGTTGTTGGTTTAATGCTATACTCCGAGACAAATATCCAAAATGGTGTTCTAATTTTTATGGCTTGTATAAGTTAGAGACACGCGAAGAATTTGAGCATTAATGGCCAAAAGTTGTTGCTAAGTATGACTTGCAATCAAATAAACACATGAAAGGGTTGTATGAAATTAAAAGTTTTTGGTCACTCGCTTATCATCATGACTATTTCTTTGGTGGAATGACAAGCACAGGTAGATCAGAGAGTATTAATGCATTTATCAAAAGATTCATAAATTCTCATACAAGTTTAAGTGATTTTATAAAGCAGGTATGGTCTGATTTCTAAAATATTATCATTGTTATAATCTTATACAATTACGGTTTGCAATAGCATGATATAATGTTAGAAAAATGCAAAAGATTAAACATGAAGTTGATGTCACCTTTACAAGAGCAAGCTCATAGTCTTCTCACATGTTTTGATTTTCAAAAGTTTCAAGAGGAGTTTGAAAGATCTATCCAATATCCAATTCATCATGAAAATGGTAATGTGCTTGTGTTGCGGTATTATAAATATGCTAATAGTAGAAAATACACGGTCTTTTGGGATGGTAAAATAACTACATGTAGTTGTAAGCACTTTGAATTTTAGGGGATATTATGTTGACACATGCTCAACATTTTTCTTTATAAAGATTGTCATGAAATCCATTCTAATTACTTGCCATCACGATGGCAATTTCAAGTATCACATGAGAGGATGATGTAGTAAATCCTCAATCAATCAATGTTGTGTTTGATGATCAAATAATATGTTACAACAATGAAGCTCGCGAGGAAGATGTTGTTCAATGTCCTCCGATTTCCAAAACAAAAGGTCATCCTAAACGAAGACGTATTAAAAGTGAAAAAGAGCTTTCACATAGCATGAATATTTGTGGATTATGTAGAGATGTAGAACATAATATTACAACATGTTCTCTAAAGGAAAATATTCAGTTTTCTGCTCACACTAAAAACAAGAAGAGGAAAACTTGTCAAAATACAAATTTGAATCAAGTTTTTCTATCAAAAATTTAGGTACATATATTTTTTTTAATATTTTTTATTTTTATATTTTTTATATTTTTAATTTGTTAATTAAAATAATTTTTTGATTATATTTTTATAAGAGAAAGAAAGTTGATGATTTATGTATCAAGACCGACGATTAATCTTTTCTTTTTATTTTGGATAATTTCTTTAAAAAATTATATTTGAACGATGTATTTGGAACTGTAATTTATTTTGCTACATTAATATATTTTTAAAGTATTTTAATTTTGTATTAAAAAACTTTCGGCATAAATCTCATTTGCAATATATTTATTAATTGTAATTTAAAACAAATTAATTTTAAGCTAATATAAAAATGAAAAGAAAAAATAAAATAAAAGTTGGCCTAACAGAACGATAGGATATGAATGTTAACATTATCATTTAATTTAGAATATAAAAAACGGTATATGTATCACATAGTAATTTAGTCCTAGTTATTTTTAGCAAACATTGATTTTAATATTTGGATTAAATAGACAAATCCTCCTTGTAATGTTAGCGAATTGAGGTTTTAGCTTTTCGTAAAGTTTTTTTTTTTAATTTCTCCCTATGTTATGTAGATTATCTCACATCATCTACTATTAGTTAGATGTCATAGAATCTTTAGTAACAATTTAAAATTTTAGCCACGTGCTATTTCTATATACGCACATGGCATTTTTTTTACTCATTTGATTGCTCAGTTGTTATTTACGTTTTCAATTCTTTATACCCCCTTGCAAAATTAGGGTTTATGTGAAGAAGTTTGTGCTGCGAAGAGGACGAATCCTTAGGGTTCGTTTTCCCCTTGTTTTGTCTGTTGTTGAGGATGATTCTTTTGAAACATTCATCGCCTGCAGTCGTCCGACCGTCATGGGTGGAAGCAAGTGTTCATCAACGAGTAAGGATTCGTCAAGATGTGGTTGCAACGAAACCATAAAGTTATGGGTATCTAACACCCTCAAAAATCTAAGCAGAAAATTCTGGAAATACATAAATTCCACGGTGAGCTGTTTACAAGGTTGTAATTACTCTTATATGAACCTTTTCAGTTATTTATGTTCTAATATTGGGGGAAAATGCAGAATGATTGCGGATTATTTCTTTGGGACGACATGGTTAGCGAGGCTGAAGTGAATTCATCCAGATGTTGCGAATGTGACATGAGCAAGGGTTATTTGTGAGAATTTGTGAAGGAGATCGTTGAGGAGAGATCAAACAAGGTGGAAAAATTGAAGATAAAGGTTGCATTGGAAAAGACCAAGAATTTCTGGATGATGATTGCAATTGTTCTGTCATGGATATTTTTTTGCAGTTGTGTATGATTTTAAGTAGTTGTTATGGTTTATAATTGGAACTTGGTTTGTCATGGTTTGTAATTGTAAGACAAACCAGTTTGTGTTGAATTAAAGTCTAATTTATGTTGTCCATTTCAATGATAATTGTAATACAAACCAGTTTTTGTTGAATGAAAGTTTAAGTTATGTGCAGTTTAGTTCAAGTTACATTCATTGACACTGAATTTACATGAAATTTTGACAGCATAGTTGAAATAAGTTAGATTAACAAAAACACATTTGGTGCATATGTCTATCACAACATTACCAAAAGGACACAAAAGGCACATTTGGTGCATATGTCTATTACAATATTACCAAAAGGACACAAAAGGCACAATCGGTGCATATGTCTATTACAACATTACCAAAAGGACACAAAAGGCACACTTGGAACATATGTCTATCACAATATTGATACAAGCAAATAAAAGGCACATAAAGTAATTAGGTCTATTACAAGATCACATAAAACTTAGTCTCTAATTTTTTGGTCTTCTATGTCTTCATAAACCTTATTTTCACTCCTAGTTTGGAGTCTTTTGAACCTGACTTCTCTCCAACTTCTGGTATGGTAATTGGCTGCTCACTAGATTTTGGGCCTGTAATTGGTTTCTTAAACCAACTCAACTTGATCCTTTCACTTTGCCTTATTTTGGTAGCTGGCTTCTTTCCTTTTTGTTTCTTTGATTACCTGGGAGTTGAGTTAGCCACAACAGATACAGTCGGAGTCATAACAGTTGGCACAACTATGTCAATCTTAGTATGAGAATCATTGGGCAATGCAGAATCCGTAACCATTGTACTTTGTCCATCAGTAGGAACTGAATTCTCTCCAGCATTATGATATGCACTATGTACATTAGTTTGAACATATTTCTCTCAAGCATTATGATATGCACTATGTACATCAGTTTGAACATAATTCTCTCCATCATTATGATATGCACTCTATACATCAGTTTGAATTGTCCTCTCAACTTCAGCAGAATTTTTAACTTTCCTCTCAGTTTGAACCATTTTTTTTTAAATTTGCATATAAATGTCTGAGACACAATCTGTGTTCTATCCTGTCAAACATCTTCTCGAAGACACCAACTAGTCCCTAAAGCAGAAACAATTGCACATTCAATACAAAACCAACAAGTTAAAATAACAATTTAATCACTATATTAATAACAATTAAGAATATGCGTACCTTCTATTGATCAGAGATGAATACATATCTTCTCTCTTGACCAATGTCTTCCATAAATAGTTGTATGAACCACCTCCAACTCTCCTTAGTTTCTGTCTTAACCACTCTAAATGCCAATGGAAAGTATTGATCATTAGCATCTCTCCCCATGGAAATTAATAGTTGTCCACCATACTTTGTCTTCAAATGACATCCATCAACCCCGATGAAAGGTTTGCATCCATTAATAAATCCTTTCTTACAACCATCAAAACAAAAATAAAAGGATCCAAACCTAGGCTGTATGGAAGGAGTGGGTCTTTTAACATTGATCTTCACAGTGTTACCAGGATTCACTCTTGTTAATTCAGCTACATACATGCATATGGATGCATACTGATTATCTGTATCACCTTCTTAAATATTAACTTAGCCTTCCATGCTTTTGCAACAGTAATCCCTATAGATTTTTTTTGCCTGATATCTTGCATTATGTCTTTTATCCTAACATTATCAAAAGTTTACAGCCTCTTTACCGCATGCTTAGCCACCCATCTAGAGTTGGCATATTTGTTATCCAAAACCCTAGTACATGTTTGGGTATCCATAAGTGAATTAAATTCTATACCCATCTTAAACTTATAGTCCTTGTTGAGGTGATCTTTTGTAAACCTTTCATACTTGGGCCTTTCATCATCACAAGAATCATCTGGGTCATCACTATTCAACTCATCACTGTAGTATTCATCCTCATCCATCATCTTATTGGGCCTACCAAAAAGCCCACTAAGACTTACATCTTCATTCAATGGCAATATAACATTGATTCCTTCAAATCCATCAAGAAGAGTAGTAGCTCTCTCATCTTCATTATCATCTAAAACTTCAACCATCTCCTCTTTCAACCCATCCATTTCATTCACCTCATTGACACAATTAGATTTTGTATCATCAGCATCCAAGTCTCCCAGAGAATGTTCCATAAATAAATGTCCGATGATATTCATTGCACTAAAGAATGATGCAAAATCATATGCATCATCATCCTTTTTTTATGAAAATATATCCTTCTTGAATATCTAAAACTTTAGTCCATAAATGAAAAGTTCCATTCTTATACCCCCCACCCACTCACCAACTTCAGAATACGATCCATTGTCAAATTAGTAACTTCAAGCCCATTTACAGTTGAATCAACCTCCCTCTATAAATAATTTCAGTCAGATTAACCCTAATAAATTCACCCCCATGGTGAAAAGTAACAGTAAAAGGTTAGAAATCCTGCTAATAAATCAAAATCAGTAATCATAATGTTCCCACCGTATTACACTTTAACTGTGATGAAGTTTCAAAATCAACATACCTTAGACATTGCAAGCTTCGTCTTCGTCTTTGCCGTTAATTGATGCCTCGTCTTCGTCGCCAGAGATCCGTCCTCTTTGCAGCACAAACTTCTTCATATAAATCCTAACTTTGCAAAGGGTATAAAGAATTGAAAACGTAAATAACAACTGGGAAAGAAAATGAGTAAATAAAAATGCCATGTGTGTATATAGAAATAACACATGGCTAAAATTTCAAATTGTTACTAAATATTCCATGACATCTGGTTAATGGGGGATGATGTGAGGGAATCTACATAACATAAGGGGAGAATTAAAAAAAACTTACGAGAGACTAAAACCCAAACTCGCTAACATTGCAGAGAAAGTTTGTATATTTAACTCTTAATGTTTTAATTACTATAATTAATTATTATACATTTCAACATAAAGTAGGTGAAATAAACTATCATTAATTACACCTTACCATGTGCCCTTGGGGCACAAGATAGCAACAGGCTTTCTACAAATAGTTTATTAACTTGTGCTCTTGGGACACATGTTAGCTTTTTTCATACATTTATGATACACAAATATCAAAAAATTATTAAATTTTAATATTTAATTTGAATTAATAGAATTATTTAATTTTTTTTTTGTATTTAGAATTAAATAAAAAAATTGTGATCTCACTTAAAGGAATCCCACCTCTCAAATTTGATTAACACACACACACACACACACACACACACACACACACACACACACACACACACACACACACACACACACACACACACACACACACACACACACACACACACACACACACACACACACACACACACACACACACACACACACACACACACACACACACACACACACACACACACACACACACACACACACACACACACACACACACACACACACACACACACACACACACACACACACACACACACACACACACACACACACACACACACACACACACACACACACACACACACACACACACACACACACACACACACACACACACACACACACACACACACACACACACACACACACACACACACACACACACACACACACACACACACACACACACACACACACACACACACACACACACACACACACACACACACACACACA